CAGCGCACTGAAGATGTCTCCTCGAATGGTGACGAAACGTTTGCAAATCAATTGCCAAGCTCGGCGAACAGATCAACAGCCACCTGATCAATTACCAACTGTTTTCTCTATCAACCAGCGATGTCTCGCAAAATCAGTACTGAATCGCACCACATTGAAGTCAATTTCTAGTGCCAATACACATGCGCTTTTTTCGTATGTATTCCTTCGCATCGATTACTGAATACCAAGTCAGAACAGTTGCTCTTGTCTCGGATGCACAGTTTGAAACCTTGCGTTTCGTGGATGTATCAAAATAAATCTCCTTAGAACGTTGAACTGGTCATGTGAGACGATAGGAGAGAGGTCATCCGTGGAATAGTTTACTGTCCATGACAGCTATTTAAAACTGTCTACACCCGAACCGAATTCCTAAGCATAGATTGAGCAGGTATAGTGCGCTTGTTTCTGAAACATTTCGGATGCAGTAGAAACTAAGTCCTTTGAGTTTTCAATGATTGAAAGGCAACTTGTCCATGTCTATTGTTCAAATCAGTGTTGAGGAAATTTCTTATACGGATAAGTTGGACGGGCAAATGATTTGCTAACACGTGTCAAACTACTCGGCATCATGGATCAAACTTATATGAATGACTTATTTTATTGTTTAGTTATCTGAGTAAGTCAAAACGGTCAAACGTCTTGTAATTAGACCTTAGGTTAGGTTTATTTTCTGTCTTGATTCAGCTAAGAGGATTGGCTTGTCTAGCTAAAAATTGTCAGGCCTATTTCACTCATTAGCAAAATGCATAACATACTGTTCTTTTGGAGATAACCACTCACCAGCGATTGACATCGTTGAAATTTAATTTAGCTAGTTTTAAACTGTATGCTATATACTCTGTTTGTATATTAAACGCCAACTATATCGTTACCAATGCTTAACTTGCTGTGAGATTCTGATCCATTTTGGTCTGAGATCAAGTAAAATTTGACGCTAGAAATTCGTCACTCTTTTTAAAACTGGAATGTTAAGTCATTTTAACCAGTTTAACCAGGTTAAAATTGCCATACCTAGAAACAGTGGGATCTTTTTGGCTAAAAACGCGGTTGGATTACCTTTTTACCCAGATCTTCCTAGTAACCAAACATATAAATAGCATACAAACAGTTTACTGAACACTCACACACAAACATTTTTCTGCGGTCGAGATATGGGAATGCCATTCTCATCCAGTGCCAGCCCTGTTTGTGGGCAGGGTTCTTTTTTGAGTGAACGGGAGAAATATTCCGTGTTTCAACCGCATGAAAAAATTAGCAAGCGTCAGAAAATCATAATTTCTTACTCAGTTGTAAATGTTTTGACATAATGGACTTCTTGTCCGCTTAGATGCCCATGATTTGTACCGGTTCAATATTTTTCACCGATAAAATAGGGACGAAAAAAGAAGCGAAGGCTGGGATAAACTCGTAGCACTACGATATAAACAATGTAGTATTATCAAGACGGACATATTGTGTAGACATAATATGGCGGCTAAAACGAGTCTGTTCCCACCCGCTCACTAGGTTGTCAATGACGAATTAGAATAAATGAAACACTTCATGCCGTGTGGCTAGTGGGCACCGAATATCTTTATTGGCAGTGGCACGAAGAGCCAATAAGAGGGTCTGCATCCTAACGTCGACTGTTCCTTTGTGGCACTATTTGACATTACTGGACCATTTTAAAACTCAGTTTTCGCAGGAAGACAGTTTGAGCCTTGAAATTCGATCAAAATTTAACCTACGAACCTACTAATGCTAATTGTTTCCGCGCGGGTGTCGCAGACACAACGCCAAACACTAGGTGAATGTCATCTGCTTCCCAGAATTTCATCGTAATTCTTCCCGTCAATCAATGAGGTTTGGTATACACCCACTTTTAGCTTCTTTTAGAATTACTGGAACATGGCGTGTGGTTGTGTACAGTTCCTTCAGTCTTCATTGTCCGAATCTATTCACGAAGTATCCGTGAGAACAGTCTTTTTTTCTACCTTCCAGTAATAGCCCAGTTATTTCGTAGACGAGTCTGTTCGTTCAAAACGATGGACGGGGGGCCTTGAAAACCTTCTTTTTGGACTTGCCTAGGAAGCTCAGCTAACCGGTATATTACTAAGATATATAAAAGAGAACAGACAGAATATGAACAGACGGAGTTGCGCTAATTTGTGCCTTAGGTGCTGACCGGTGGAAAAGTGGAATAACTGCCCAGTGATTTTCCCGGTCTCTCAGACATCCTAGCCATTTGGTAACGTGATCACTTAAAACCTACAAAATTGGATGAATGTGTATATTTATCAAATTTTCGCTCCCACCCTAGTAACCTAAAGCACTTATTTCAGTAAGTTCACGGCCCAAAAGCGATGTACCCAATTTTTATTTTTCGGATCACAGCACCAATATAACCATTTTGCCAAAATTATTTGGCAGGTGCACCCAGCATGTGGGGAAGCAGTGGGAAATTTTGATTTTTCTCGGCAAGTTTGTGGAAGCTCAGGATTCTGTTTCGTCTGACCGGTCGTTGTGCTAGTAAACTCCAACTGGATAGAAATTTGGGTTGCAAATTTTACAATATCTTAATACTTGGCACGACACTACTCGCAAGGTTAGTGGAATTGTTTCAAAACATGCTATCGATTCCAACATTTGTACTTAGTGCCGTTCGCAGTGTCTGAATATTGGTCGCTCGGGTGGGTTAATTGGCCGTTGATCAGGTGACAGTTGGTCTGTTTGCCAAGCTTGGCGACTGGCATATAAACATTTCGCCACCATACAGGGAAACATTGTAAACCGTCCACTGACGATGTCTCCTCAACTGGAGACGGAAAACTTGCAAGCCGAGTTCCAATCTCGGCAAACAGACCAAGTGCCACCTGATCGACGGCCGACTTTGCGTCGCTGTTAGCTGTAACTAGAACAAGTTACTCAAACACCGTTTACCCTAGTCCCTGGTGTACACTGTATAAATCATTCCAAATCACACAAACTATGGGATTACGGGTTTGTTCAAAAGGCGCGATCGCCCAGACGCAACTCGGCATCCGAAGTGCACAGATGACAGGAAAAAACTTGGCGTTCTAACATCCCAATTCTTCAGGGCTACGCATCAATCTATCATCCTGATTTCTAAGACGCCGCTCTTGTTAAAGAATAAAAGATCAGAAATTGCAAACCGCTTTGACGCCATTCCGGCAGGTTTATATTTTTGTCTGTCCACAAAATGATCATTTTTCCAGGACTGGACCCAAATATTTTGTCTGGGGAGACCTTTTGATAGAGGAGAACTAGATGGAGAATCAACCCTTGTGTCAATTTTCGAAGTGTACCAAGGCGTTCAAACTGGGTGGTGAAGGGACTTAGACGTTTCATTGATTCAGTGGGTTTAAAGCAATCTCGTGTGACCAGCAGGATAAAACTGTGTATTACTATCCTAACGAACCAAGTTCGAAATCCGTAAGGGTGTATTCAATCGGAACGTCAGCTCTCTCCACATTATCTTCACATACCCGTTTTAAAAACTAAACTCTCCTTAGGAAGTTGACAAGTTTTCTGTTGAAATTTACCTTTCTCGTGGAAGGGTCTTTGAAAGCCTGAAGAGGTGATCATTTATGCCTAGCTGTTAATTTTTACTGCCGCGAACGGCGGCACGAAAGTGGAAGTAAATCTAGCAAATTGCAGTAAAATATTGCAGACAGCCTAAAGGACAGTAATCTTAGTTATTTCTCCCAAGAAGACATCTCCCTGTCAATTAAATACTTAGGCGCCCACTGAAGCCGCTTCCCGTTTTGGAAGAATCGCTTGTTTACAAAAGCATCCTCTTCCTGTCAAGTGGCTAAGCGACGATTCTACGGCTGAAGCGCTAGTACAAGCTCTTCAAGTATTCAGAGTAGCATTTGTCGTAGTTCCGCAACTTAAGTGGCTCATAATTTTCTGTGTTCACAGGCTTATTTTTCATTTGGATTCAAATAAGGGATGGATTATCTTCTTCAGAAAAAATAATTGTTTTAGGCGTAAAACGCATAACTAAACAGTTGGTTGGAATCAACATTTAGGCCAAAGAAGTTTCAAAAGTTTTTGCTGCAAAATGATCAGTGTCTAGTAAGAACTGAGGAAGTGCATTGAAATTTGACGTGCGTCCTTACAAACAGTGACGATTTTGTCATTTTGTAAGCTTGTGCTGATTTTTGAATGTGTTTCTTTATCTATCTTGAGATTTACTTGACTGTGGCTCCGTTATCTTTAGGGGTGATTCGGGTGCAAGACAGGTTGCAAGGAAGCCATCCGTATATGTTCCGTGTGACGGCCGAGGACTGCCGACGACCAACACCCAGAAAGGCTACTGTTGATGTAATGGTGAAGCAGATAGAAGAGGGCTGTCAACCGGGTTGGAAAGGTAAGTAAATTTTTCAGATCCGCTGGAAATACATAGCCAATATTTTTAGTTTATACGTTATCAGATTAAAAGGGAACGGTTTTAGAATGCGCAAGTTTACAATCTATGCACGACCTGTTGTTTAACTTGGCTAAAACAGTTTGGGATAATGGAAACTTGGTTCAAGCTTCACCTGCGAAAAAGCAGTAGTTTTATCTGTGGAGATACCTACGATCCAACACTACCATTAATGACTAGGAGCACCGAAAAAGACAGACTTATTGTCACTTATACTTGCCAAGCTTATAGAGTGTATGGAATGTAACATGCAAACTGCTAATATAGGTGACTATTAAATTACGAGATTTCTTGGGGGAAACTGAGCGGATACATTAGTGGCATCCTTAACCAGAATGCGAATAGATAATGAGTGGAATGTAACATACAAACTGCTAATATGAGTGACTATTAAATTACGAGATTTCTTGGGAGGAACTGAGCGGATACATTAGTGGTATCCTTAACCAGAATGCGAATAGATAATGAAACATCTTCAACCCCTTGTTCTGCTAGATTGCTAGACAAGTTTGGTTTCTCATCTTTAACGAGTATGAACTGTGAAGGGTTTCCATAATCCCCTCACAAAGTACCTCGAAAATTAAAAGCCAGTACTTGGGTATTAAACAAAATTGGAGACAGTTTTCTGTTTCTAAAAACGACAAAGTCGGCAGCATACCGCCCACAAAAGTCCATCTTTTTACTTCATTTGATCTTGCTACGATCTGATCTTACTTCTTTCAAGAGCAGTTCTGTTACATACCATTCTTGCATTCTAAAAGGGCAAGCACTGAACTTTTTATCTGTAGGCACCATCCAGTATTTATAAGACTTTAGTTCTCGAAGCCTAAATAGTATACAGTAGGTTCATTGCTTTATCTTATGCACCCAACCGCTGTTTTCATTGTATATTTGCATATTTAAAACTGTATAATAGGGGTACCAGCATACCTCGAATACACTGGTGGGCTGTACACACCAGGAAATCTGCTTCGCCACTATCAACTCAGGCTTGATACTTGTGCTGGCAATTGTCCGGATGCAACGATTGAGGCGAGGTTGGAGTTGAAGTCTGCACTCAAGGAATATCAGCTGATAACAGCAAGCTCTGATGCATGTTTGCATGACCTGGAGCACCTGAGTCTGCAACGATCGCTTTGTGGTAAGTTGAACAAAGGGTTATCTTTGTATCGCACAAAATGCTGTATGACCTAAGAATTGAGAAAGTTTTTCAAGCTACAGAAGATGAATTCTGGCTTTGCGCTGACATCTCATCGTGTTGTTTGCGCCAAAGTCGTTTTGTTTGTAGTCCACTGCAGGCTGGTTTGTGGAAAACCATTTTTACACTATTCAGTATTCGCACAATAATCGCAGTGTTCGTCAGCCTAGAGGCTAGTCTCTTGGCTTTTTTGCATCAGACTAGCCATCCACAAATTACCCCGTTCTTGGTTTGGTTAACGTTGCTTTCTGTCGCAGTTGTTACGTCACCGAAGAAGCGTACTCCAAGTTCTAACTATATCTTAAGAATCGCTATCTTTTGCAACATTAAAAATGCTTACATCCTCACCGGGTAAAGCATATTGGTAAGTTAAAATCTAAACGTGTGATAGCTGAAGATGTTAGATTAATGACGGATGACAATTAGTCTTGTCGAGAATCTCAAACCTGCGGACTGATCTGCTGAAAATCCACGTCAATTTTGGAGTACGCTCTTTAGTAGTTGCAACTGCTTCGTAGCCAAAATAACTTTGTATTTGTATTTCTTGACTATGAACTTAATTGCATCGATTTGTTTTCTAATGAGGGATTGGAATTTTCTTGATGCGTAGTTTTACTTAACAGACTGTCAACTTTGGACTACTGGATTTCATTCAGTCTCTTTTTAAGGACAAGGTTTCTTTTGGGTGCTTTAATGTTTCTCCTTTACTGGTAAATTCTAGACATGAATACTGTAATACTGGGAAATTAATCGTTTAGAAAAGATTTAAAATTTGCTGCAGAAGACATCATCTAGACTTTGGCCCTTGGGACCTTTATTTGGCTTGGTAATAAGACCAACTGAATAGCTGTGAAACTTCAGAGGTATCTCTACTTATTCAAGTGACGGGCCGCAAGAAATTGATCAGATTTAATTTTTGAGCACTTAAATTCTCAGCATGTCAAAATATGCTCTCAGTACGTAATCGACTGTTGTAGCATAAAACATCTATTACACCAAAACACCAACAGTTATTTAGAAACCAATATTGTGTCTACACTTGTCAAAGGCTCTGTTCGGTAAAATGATCGCTTAAATAGAACAAGAGCCTTTCTCAATCAGGATTCCGGGATACGAAAAATGAAACCAACAAAAGTAAGACGTTTTGGTGAGAGAATTCGATGGCCAAACTGGCGCGGGTTTTGAAACAAGCGAGGAACATAGATTTATCCACAACTGATCAGTTGGGGGCAAGAGAGCTAACTGTTCCGAGACTTCGAGAATTGTCTGAAATTCATAAACTAAATGTTCTGCTGCTAACAATACTATGCAAGGTGAATTTGCTACATCACGCGCTAATCAATTATTCAGCAAGGTGTTACAGCACAGTCTGCGAAATTTTCAACTTTGTGCTTTCAAACGGACAGACAGATGGTCTCTGTTCGTTGAACGTCGAAGCGCATCCGTTTGCAATTTTTTTTTATTTAAACCGAAGACCCAAGTGAATTCCAGCTGAATCTTTTTTCAGAATTTTCTTCCACCGATTATGCTGCACGAAGACCACTTTAAATTTACGCACTAAAATGTCTGTACGGAACACAACACTCGTATGGTTAACAAATAGCTTACGACCACTGTTGAACGGTTTCGTCCTTATCCCAACCCGGTAGGCGCAGTCACTGGGTTTCTACTGAATTAATGTTTTGGTCTAACCCCAAACCACAAGTGATTATCGGAGTACAAATATTTGTAACTGGGAATGCAACTGAGTCCCAACTGACGGGCCCCACGAGGGGAAAACTTGACGTAGACTGTTGAAGAGTCATCAGTAACATTACAAGCAATGTGCTCCTGCCAAAACCTATGGAGTATTTGTTGCACCATATTGTAACCGAAAACTTTAAAGCAAGTTTTTTCCCACTGAAAGACCCAAAACAGTAACTCTACTTGTGCGAAATATATCTTTCGAGTGCAATTATTTCAGGCAATCAAAACAGCCATGGGCACCTATTGTGAGCTTTACTTTTTATAGTTATTTTATGAGATACGCGGCCATTAGTTGTCATCTCCCAGTGCATTATTCACAACTGGCACGCGTCCGACACATTTTTTACGCTTGTAGTCATTGAACCAAGCAGACCTTTCAATAGTATTGAGTACGACCCATCCACATATACGGAAAGTCCTGAAAATGGGGTCAGAAAACCAGATTTTGTTTCTCGATATCATCGTCCCGCCGGACAGGTTATTCCACAGTCCTCTAGAAGTAATTGTGGATAAACACTAGAGCCATTTCAGTGGTGTTGTTTCAAGGAAACAAACCTGAGCTGATCATGACGGTGAGAAACCGTGCTCAAAACGCGTGCATCAGATATACGTTTCCTGTGAAGATGACCTTGGGGCAAATAATGCTTGTAAATGCTGGAAAATCTTGGAAAAGGAAACGCAAAACGCGCGCCACCATGTAAAACGAATCTGGGATACATAGCCCCACCGCCTACAAAGGTTCAGTCAACGACTAGTAAATCAACTGCTGCAGTGAACCACGATTAACGTGTTTCATCTCTTATTTGTCCCCATCTAGTTTTGCAACCTTAGCGTAACAGTAAAATTTATAGCCCTGTAGAAGCCCTCTATGTCTGCTATTTTGCTTGTTACAACAGGACATGTTAGATTGGCTAGAAATACTAGACTATTCCTGAAAGTGACAGGGAGCACTTTCCAGAGTATTTGATTAGCGGGGTTAACAGGGCTACAAATGCTTCATTAGCAGATATCATTGAATTAGACGATTTGGTCGCAGCACTTACAGCAATTTGGCATGCAAACCAATTTCATGAAAACGCTCAAAGGTGTCGAATAGCCAAATTTGGCAACGGTCAAGATGACGTCAGCTGTTCATTCATCACAACTATTTATGCTCAGAAGCATTTCAATTTGCCTGGCCTACACCGTTTTCTGTAACTGACCATTATTTCCAATCTCATTGAGACACGATTATCCCCATTTTCTCCGACTAAACTGTTCTTTAGTTAGATCAACTGGCAAATGGTTGATTGCCTCAGCATCAAATCTGCTGCCGGTAGGTTTGTTCATTGGTTTTACCTTTCCCACTAACAAAATCTATTGTAAGTATTAATATAAGTATCTATGAGACCAAAAACTAGCCGGTTACACGTTTCTAGTGTTTGTTGTTTACCTCCTGGACGCCCGAAATTAGTAGGATATCATTCAAAAAGTATATAGATTGTAATACATTATNATATATATATGTATATATTCACCAGTACGGGGAGACTCCTGTGGCTTCTAGGGCAGCATAAAAAGAAATCACTTTAATTCCGCTCTAAAAATATTCGCTTCATCAATTACTTCAAAATACCTCTGTTGATGGATGAATCCATAGAATGTTTGTTCGTTTTTTTTTGCTGAATACACTTAGCCGTTTAGAATCGTAATCTACCTGCACTCCTGCACCTAGACCTCCACTCCTACAGTAATGTGTGCGCAGGTATGTTTCTAAAATCCGTCGGTTTTTATCAAGCTGACCAGTTCCGACAGTAGATCTGGGTTAGCAGGTTTGCCTGGGCATTTCTCGCTTAACCGAAGGCACTTGACATCCATCCAACCGCACCTTTCTTATAGACGTTCCAGCAACCTATAAATGGCGGTCATGGATAGCCAAATATAAATCAAAGTAAACCAAAAATGTTACTTTTTTAAACTAACGTGTAGTTTCCATCATTTCAAGCCGAGGAAATTAGCTGGAAACCAAACACTTAGCTGAAATTTTGTGTAGATTTCGTCCTGCAAGTGAAGCCAATCTATGCTGAAAAGCCGAGAAGCACTGTACAGCTGTTTCATCCTTATTGGGAATCATCAGCAGTGCGCAT